GAATTTTATTTATTTTTCTTTTTAATATATATATATATATATTTTTTTATTTCAGAGAGGAAGGGAGAGGGAGAGATAGAAACATCAATGATGAGAATCATTGATCAGCTGCCTCCCATACGCCCCCAACTGGGGACAGAGCCCACAATCCCTGCAGGTGCCCTGAAGGGAATCAACCTGTGACCTCCTGGTTCATAGGTCAATGCTCAACCACTGAGCCACGCCCGGCCAGCTGGGCAGGAATTTTATTTTTAAAAAGTTGCTGGAGTCTCCCTTTCTGCCACCGTTTTCCTGGAGAGCTGCCTCTGGGTGCTCCTTGGAGAGGCTCCATCAGGCCTCCAGCTTTGTGCTTTTCTTTCTGGCTTATTCTCTTGCCCCCACCCCCAGCCCCCAAAACACACAGTTAAGGACTAGACTTCATTATTGAAGGGTGGCTTGGGCTCCTCTGCGTCCACAACCAGGATGTACAGGCACCAGAGAAACCTGGCTAAGCACCTTCAGGGGGGTTCTCAGGCCAATAAGACGGTAAAGCTCATGGTTTGAAACCCACCTCAAGTGATGACTTCCTGGAGCCTGTTCTCAGCTGTGAAACGGGGATAATGGAAATGCCCATCTTGTTATGAGGAGTAAATGAGTTCACACATGTCAAGTGCCTGGAGCTGTGCAGTACACAGTCCAGAGCCAATAAATGTTAAAGGTTATTCTCTCACCCTTGCCTTAGCCCAGAGACAAAGAAACATACAGACTTGATATTTCCAAGGACTGGTTTTTAATTTCAAAAAACTGGTTGGGGTCTCTTTCCACATCAGGGAGAACCATATTCCAGGCTACGACCTCAGGGGAGTCAGTCCAGCACTAGGCCTGGTCCAATCACAATCCAGCCACCGAGCCCTGTCATTCCATCATGAGGGCTGATCCCAGACTCCGCCCATCAGTCTAAGAGAAGGGGACCAAGGTGAAGCTGCCCATGACTGATTCTGTCTCTCTGAAGCCCCCATCTCTGTCCTAGGGGAGCCAGCCGTGTCTTTCCAAGGAGAGTTGGCTCAGCCATCAACTCTCAGTTTAGTCACCAGACACCCTCCCAGCCCTGGGGTCAGCGTCCTGGCCCCGGTGGCCGCTCCAGTGCCTGTGTGCCCACCAGCACGTCCATGAGGTAGTCCAGCTCAGTGTCCTTCAGCTCAGTCTCCTTTAGCTCCGGAGTGTCCTCCTTGCCTGACCCATCTTCAGGGCCAGGTTTAAGGCCCTCAGAGGCCGGCGCCCAAAGTTCACTGTCGTACATGGAGGTGTCGATGTCCTCAAACAGGCCCTCGAGCCCATCGTCTAGCAGACAGCCAGTGGCTGGGTCCAGCAAGTCCAAGGAACCCAGGCTGGGTGGGGCTCCCCCAATGGGGCGGCCCTGGGGCCCCTCTTCTGCCAGGGGCTGGGGTGCCTGGCTCAAGCCCTCAATATGGCTGAGGTCCTCCAGGAGGCTGGCCATGGATGCTGAGAGGGCAGCGTCTGAGCTGGCCAGCAGGTTGTCAGCCATGCCAGGAGCTGCAGGCAGGCTGGGCACAGGCGGCAGGGCAGCTGTGGGCACCATGGATGCCTGGATGCGCCGCAGAGTGTTCACTACCAGCACAAGGTGCCGCAGGTCTGGCTCACTCTGCCGCAGGCTGTGGTGGAGCTTGAGCACTGAAAGGTCAAAGAGAGAACTGGAGGCCACGGCCGGGGGCGCCTGTGCCACTGCTGGGTGGTCAGAATCCAGCCACCAGGTATCCACTGCCAGGGCTTCCTTCTCCTCCTCCTCCTCCTCCTCCTCCTCCTCCTCCCTCTTGCGCTTCAAGCCCTTGCTCAGCATCCTCTGTGGGGAGGGAAAAGTCACTGAGTTATGGAAAGCCAATGTTAAGTTCAAATCCTGGCTCTGACGAATGCTGTGAGACCTTGGGCAAGTCACTTAACCTCTCTGGGCCTACGTTTTCTTAGGGAATCTTTAAGATATGAATGATATTAATATCTACATCCTAGAATTGTTTTGAGGAGTATATGAGATAATATACAAAAACACTATGCCCTGGCTGGTGTGACTCAGTTGGTTGGAGAGATGTCTTGTACACCAAAAGGTTTCGGGCTTGATCCCAGGTTGAGGCATGTACTGGAGACAATTGATATCTCTCTCTCGCTCTCTCTGGAATCAATGGAAACAAATCCTTGGGTGAGGATTAAAACAACAACACTACAACAGTGCCTGGTATATAGCAGTTTCTCATATGAATAAGTACTATTATTAATAACTATTATAATTTATTTCTTCAATGAACCATATGAAGTGTTCAATATTCAACCTTTTTTTTTTTTTTTACTTACAAAGGGGCTGTAAGTAAAATAGTTTAATTTAATATTTATTGAGTACCATGCATTAGACAATAAACTAACAAACACAGGAAATGTACAGCTGGTGCTAGGAAGTTCTGGGGAGTGATCAAGGAAGGCTCCTCTGAGGTGAGCCCTCAAGCATGAGGAGTCCCGAGAAATAACCAGGGGGAAACAATCTGGGAAGAGAGAACAGCAAAGGCAAAGAAAGACCCTGCCTGAGGGAGGATGAGCTTCAACTGAAAAAAAAAAAAAGGACCAGTGAGGTCAGTACACAGAAGTGACAAGAGTAGGAGTGGGGAGGGGGGGTAGGCGGGTGGCCGAGACAAGAAGCTGGGATTTTATTGTGAGTGTGGTGGGAAGTCACTGAGGGGTTTGAGCAGGGGGAGAGTGGTGGTGTGGATTGATGGGGTTTCCAGAAGCTCCCCCTTGGCTACTTCAAGGAAGATGGGGGTGTGGAGAGAAGGGGGAAGAGATCCATTCGGAGGCTACTGCACTCTTCGGGATGAGAGATGACGGTGGTTTGGAGTAGAAGATGGTACGTAATGGATATGGAAAAAAGTTGGTCGATTCAGGATTTATTTGGGAGGCAGAGTGGACGGAGCTTGCCAGGAAATCCTGATGGGCACGGGGATCACTTTGAGCAGTAAGAGGCCCTACACTTCCCTCTGGTCTCCTGGCAGCCGGCAGGGTCCAGTCCCCGGGCCCTTGTCCAGCAGGACCTTAACCCCTCACACTACTCAGAACTCGGTCCTCGCCTCCTTTCCCGCAGACCTGGGAGTCCCAAACCGCAGGAATTTAGCCCCCTACCCCGAC